GGGTGTTCAGATGTACATGTACTTCTGAAACACCCTGTATAAGTAGGTAGGGAGTCTCTACGATACCACTGGAGATATTGGCTTCATCCATTCAATGCCAGGTTACTCACAAGGACGGCTTTCACACATAAGCTCCTCGAAACTAACGCTATGCGTAAAACACACATAAAGTTTGCAGACTTTAGGGTCCTGCCATAATGAATGCAACACAACACATATCGCAACGCTTGCAATCGTCAAAAATAATCGAAAAACTGTTGAACGATTGTTTCACGCATTGCATAAGTTTTGCGGTACGTCCATCGTGGCATCACCCTTATCTATAAATACTTTATGTGTTTGTGGAAAGCACAGGATCTGCACAGGGTTTTTTATACCTCCTAGGTGAAATATTCCTAATTGATCTTATTCAGGAAGAAAATAGGAAACAACACAAAATTGAAGAACCGTCTATACAGTCAACTCCCTCCAACTTCTTAATCTTGGGGCTACGAATTCTTGGAAATAAATGGTTAGAGGAAGTCACGAACTTCCTCAGGTAGTGTTATTCAAACAATAACCGACATATATATCGGTCTCAATCACTGAGAAAGTGAAGAGTATAAAAGATAAAGGGAGTCTGTACCGATGCATCGGTCCGAATACACGGAGAGAAATTTTTGATAACAATTATCCAACCGTTCTATAAAAGTGTTTCGTGAGTCATCATTACCTCATTTCTATCCCGAAATTTAGTCAAAATTAATATATGATGATCAAATTTTATTCTACGTTAGAGAAATTTTATCCTGATGAAAACAAAAATTACCGTGTCGATAGAGTAAAAATTACTGTACCGGTAGGGTAAAATTTACCAACTGTTCTAGAATTTTCGTTGTTATCTACATAAAAATTATTCGACTGGAAGGGTAATAGTATATTTCGTAACGAGTGCAAAAAAGTATTTTTTGGCGAGTGTGAGGTTTATATCACGAGCCGAAGGCGAGTGATATAATCCCACGAGCTAAAAAACATTTTTTCACGAGTTACGAACAATATTTTTCATCACAATGTGGCGGAAATTGGACTTTTAGGCACGCGGAGCCTGCCGAAAAGTTCACTTTTCGTCACAGCGTGATGAAAAATTTATTATGCGTCAGGATAAAATTTCTCTAACGTAGAATAAAATTTGATCATTATACATTAATTTTTACTAAATTTCGGAATGGAAATGAGGAAACGATGACTCACGATACACTTTTATAGAACGGTAGGATAATTTTTATCAAAAATTTCTCTCCGTGTATGCACCCTGGATTTAATTTGACATCTACTTGATTGTAGTCGAATTTCGATCTATTTCAAGTCGAGTAACTTGGATATCACGAATCCGAATGTCGGGTCTGATGTGAGCAGAGAAGTGAACTATTTCAAGAAGAAAAGTGTCAAGTCATTTTTTCAACTTGATTCGCGCCGATTTCCGGCTCAATTTAAGCCAATTTTTCGGTTTCGCTCAAGCCCAGGTAGGCATTGACCATGGATCCTAGCTTGATCCAAGCTTGTTCCAACCCTAGCACAGCTTGGTGCAAGCTTTGCCTCCAAGCTTGGGCCAACCTTTGCGGTAACCAGGAATGTAACGCGGATCAAGCTTTGCGAGCAAGCTCCCTCCAAGCTTTGAAATATAGATTCATCCAAGCTTCTGTCCAAGATTTGTCCATGCTTTGATAATAGATTATTCCAAGCTTGTTGATTCAGGTTCATCCAAGCTTGTTGATTCAGGTTCATCCAAGCTTTGTGATTCAGGTTCATCCAAGCTTGGTGATTCAGGTTCATCCAAGCTTCTCTCCAAGCTCCATCCAAGCTTTGAAATGAATCCAAAAGGAGGAGATGGATCATATGAATGAATTAGTACGTTATTTGAAGTCCATTATTATTTATTATAAATTGAGAATATAGTACGATATGATACAACCTCGCTGAGGATAATGTTCAAAGTATCTTAAAAAAAATCAACAGTGCAAAAAATCGTACAATTGTTGTTCATTCATCAGCCTCTCTCTTACGTTTTGCTCGTCTTCCATCACGACTGCCGAAACCTGCCAAATATTCGCTAGTCACAGTCACAAAATTCAATTGTTTTGACTTCTCTGCATATTTTTTCTCAAGCACATCTGTAATTCAATATTTATAATAATTTTATTCCCTCAAATACTCATAGATTTACGTATATAAAGTAAAATTTCATATAATCACACACCTTTCATACATGCGAAAACGAGAGTAAGGCTGAAATTTCTCTTCCCAATCCCATTCCTTTTCCGACCAATCCCACTGTAATGTTCTTGAACATCAGCTGTGGTTAATTCACCCAAAATGTGCTTGACGTCTCTGTCAAAATGCATGGTACCTTGTACAATGGACTTCATAATCCGTTTCTAAAACAAAGAATGAAAAGGAACACTAAGGTCATTTATTCGAAAAAAAACAACATCATTTACTGATGTAGTTCAGTGATGTGGTTGCACCCATTATTTTTCTCGTTCTTTCAATTCAATCCATCAAAATGGAAGTGTCAAACTCATCCCTGTATCAAGGTCTGTTTTTTTAATTCTGAAAGAATGCACTTTTTACGTCTCTCGGTTGAATCCAAAGCGTCGGAAATAGAAATTTGAAAAAAATATAGAATCTGATTTTTCATCTAAAAAAGTTGGAATTAAAAAAGAAAATATTCTTTTATTTGTCTACCATTAACCTAGTAAAATAAGGCGTCTGTCAAGAGAATCACGAAAAAATGGATTCCTATGAGGGATGTAAAAAATATTCACGTTTTGAAAATTGTCAGATCACAAAAAATGCCTGTCATGTGACAGTTATGGGACGTAATTCTTTTCGGTGAGATTTTTTGGTAAATGGTCCATTGTTTCAACAAGATTGACTAGCTGGATTTACATACTTTGAATTCTGCCGAAAGAATAAAAACTGAAGTTTTCAGTATAACAAAAGACTTTGATGAATTGAATAGAAAAAATATCTCCTTAACGGGGATGTTTAGAGGTAAATTCAAAATACGTGATTCTCTGAAAATTGTTATGTTGACGAAAGATATTTTTTTCTCAATAATTTTCCTCTCAATTAAAGTATTTTCTCGAGAGCTCGATAAAATTTAAAATTACCAAAGCTTCTTGTTTTTGCAAGGCGGCATCAGGATTGGCTGCATTTTCTTCATTTTTAGGATCAATACTCTTTTCAAATTTCTCAAAATCTTCTAATTTGCATATGGGAAACTCGACTCCCAAGATAGCTCTTGGTGAGGGGCCCACGTCATTGCTCATGGCTGCTCCCNGAAAAAAAACAAGAAAAATCGATTGCCCCCCATTGTTCATTTATTCTAGTAGCACCCGTCTTTTACATGAATTTCATTATAAAAATGTATTTTTTTCTAACAAAATCGAAAAATCGAAATTATTTTTTTTAAAGAAAAATAATAAAAAAAGAACTGGGCCCATTCTAGGGCTGGTTATGTTAATTGCAGAACGACTCGAATTAAAAAAATAAATAAATAAAAATCCTAAGATCTGAAAAATTGATTGCTTGTCTTGAAAAAAAAAACCAAACAATAAAAGTTATGGAACTTCCGATTGTCCCGATTCTTTTTGGATTCAGTTGTGAAAAATTTATGCAACGATGAGAAAAATTGTTCCGATTGGTAAGTTTTTGAAGGATCTACAAGCAAAAAATCTGAAAAAACTTTGAGAAATGTTTTTTATGGGGTAGCCAAAAATATGAAATTTGAAGCTGAATAGGAAAATATCGGGTTATTTAAGAACGCAATATTTCAATAATTCACCTGCAGTGCTCAAAATTTCCACTCGGAATCTGCCCCACGAAGGTTTTGGGTTTACTTGGGTTTTCGCCAATTTTTCAAGTCTCCCATAGTCTGCTTCCCCTGGGAATCGACAAAAACCAATCATTGTAACAGGGTCAACCTCTTCTGTCCACGAGCTTCTTGCGATCTCAATCAACTTTTGTCCTTGCTTATCAGTCTCTCCATAGAACTCAACGACACAAAATGGTTTTTCTGGCTCTTTTGGCTCATCTTCCTTGTTCTTTTTCTCCTTTTTATTCTTCTTTTTTTTTTCTTTCCCACCTCAGATGGAACAGGCTCTTCGTCTTGATCCTCCGCCTCGGGCGAGTGCACGTTCTGCTCTTCGTCGTCGTCAGCACTCATCCTTAAAAAAAATAGGCACTTTGACTCGGTCATTTTTTAGGTTAGGCGCGTTATCTGTTTGTTTGATCCTTGCTTGGATGTGACTCTGCCATTACATAGCATGATATTTGCAAACATTCATGGTGCAAGTTGAAAATATGAAATAATGCAGCACTTTCTCGCTTACAATTGTATACTCACTTGGGTTCTGATGACGCAGTCGTAATTTTCTCTTGATTAAGCGCACCAGAGGTCTTTCAAAGGAGGAATAATCACACACTTCTTATTAAGAAATTGACGAGTATTTCGTATAAGGTAATGGTGGCTACACGAGGATGACGCAATTCGTAAAATGCACAGGTTATGTCGACTAACAACGGACTTCCGCACCGCACTTTTCTCCTCACGCTACTGACGATACGAACTACCCCCTCTCCCTTACCTCCACCAGCATCGAAACCCCACCACTGGCTTCCTCCATTCTTCTTTGCCTCACTCCACCCTCAGCAGGGATGGGCTATATAAATTATCTCTTATTTTTCACATGTAAAAAATTAGGTAAACTACCACATGAGTTTTTAACATTTTTAACTGCGCAAAAAATCAATTTCTATTTGAAAAATCGAAGTCGAGAGAGAATCATAGCAGGGTAGGATCAGATAATGCAATTCCCAATACCAATGGGCAGAATATTAGAGAGTATAAGTTTCTATCTTTTTCCCTCCTTTCCAAATCTTAATTATGATTACAATAGTATGGTAAGATATCTTAATTATGAGCAACTGGTCGAGAAGTTATTGATTAAATTTAAAATTTCATTTTCGAATTTCAATTTTAATTTTCAATTTCCTACTTTAATTTCAAATTGAAATTTCTCATTTCAATCAGATGAAAAGAGGGTGAATCGATTTTTCAAAAAAATCAGAGGTCCGAAAATCGCAATTTTGAGAATCGTCTTGGATGTGTTGTTGGGTTGTTAGGTATTTCATCGATTTTAGACGCCAATGATAGATTGATAACTTTTCTAATGTAATAATTCACACCTGATTATACTCATCAAACCTCAAACCTAAAAGTCAAGGTTAATTCTGAGATAATTATTCTTAATTGGCAATGTGCTTCATACACCTGCGATTTTATGCGAGAATAAATTAAATGATGAAGAAAGAAAGTAGAAGCAAATACCAGAAATTTTAACTTAGTTCACTACGTCGAGTAAATTCAGCACTGAAGTATTTTACTTAAATATAATTTTTTTCAATTTCAACAACATATTTATTTATTCATGAAATTCCATTTTCTGTCTATCAATGATTGATGCATTAAAAAGTTTCAATAATTTTCCATTTTCCTATATTTGTACAAAAATATTCCAGTCCCATTTCAGCAGCATGACAGTTTACTATACATAAAGAATGAAAAGATTTAGCAATTCGTACATCTCATCGAGAAACAGATAGATAAATTCTAACAGTTGGAAAAATTTATGCAATCATTTCTCTTAAAGTACTATGAACAGTCGAGTTTTCAAACAGTTCCAGGAGAAAATGATTGGGAATTAATTACGAAATTTCCTGACTATCACTAACTATAATTTTTTAGATCAAACTGAGTAATATTTTGGCAAAACCAATCATATTCTTCCCTGACCTCTAAAAATTCTCCCGAAAATTGGACATGTTTTATGATCTGTTTGATAATACAACTTCATAATTGAACATTACGAATTATACTCTTGTTTATTCGCTCCTGGTGCTTATTCGTGAAGCAGTGAAATTGCAAAGTTTTCATCCTCAATATTAATCACGATACATTTTTGCTTGACATTCTGCAGGGAAACAAATTCATATGAATTAGACAATTGTGTGATGTTTGAAATTCCAACTTCCTTTGAAGGACACGGTGCAGTGAAAACATCTGTCGATCTCTCAAATTTCAAAACTTGGAGATAAATATCATCAGCATTTTTAACAACCTTCATGCATTTTTCTTTCACATATAATTTTTGAATCATAACAATTTCATTATTGGTCAATTGTACGACATTATCAGGAAATTTAGAATACAAGATTTTATCTTTATATATGAATGATTCTACTGATGAAAACCTTTTTCCATTCAAATTAATTGTCTCCACAGTTTTACCTATCGCAATATCTCGAATCAGCAGACGTTCAGTTAGTTTCACTTTTTGAGACGAATCTAGAGCACGAATCCTATTAACAATTTGAGACAGAGGTCTGACCTTCGAGCTCACCAGATCTTTCATTTGTCCTATAAAATTCTCCCCCCAAAATGCGGACAAATGACTTAAACTCATCTGATAATATTCGGCATCACTCTCCACGTGTCCAAGGTGATGAAAAACCATGGTGTCGACATCCAAACCATAAAATGTTCTCATTAATTTGACGAACGTTCTCAAGAACTGACCTGCAATCGGAGTATATTTGACAACCCATTCATCATTGCAGAGAATTCGTGCAGCAACGTGCAATAGCAGAAAATGCTGATATCTGTCTATGTCAAGAACATTTTTGAGAATAATTCCCCCAACATACAAAAGCAAAAATGAATATTGAGTTGCTTTCCAGTGAGAAAAGTCATCCACGTCAAATTCCTTTCGTTGGAAATCCTTTGGAACGGATGATGTAATCAATTCCATCGACGCTTTGAATATTTGAAGCTTCGCACTTGGTAATTTATATTCATTCTTACTCCTGCTGATCCATTTCTCGCCAAGATTTTTCATAACATTGAGGTAAAATAAATGCATAACCTCTAGAGGTACGTGTTTTATGGGATCGAATCCAGGTATATCAAGTAAAGGAGTCACAAGAGTTTTTTTGTGTCTGGATCAATCAGGTGGTGTTGAATTTGTGTTTGATTAGTGAAAGATTCTTTTGTTCGTAACGAGCAGTCCAATTTGGAATAAACTCTCTTTCCATTCACTGTTTTTCCTTCGATAGTGCACCGTTCACAGCCATAATATGCTGTAGGTCCTTCAACACTTTTCAGCATAGCTCTTGCAGGACTATCTGCATTTATGGCCATGAGTTCAACACTATATTTTCGTCCTCCAATAGTTATCCCTTCATTGATCAACGTCGTTATTTCTTGTACGAAATCTTTCAAAAATTCTTTTGTGCTTTTCGGTTTTGACCGTCCATACAATGCAGCTATAATGAATGGAGTCACTACATAATTTGGGTGGAAAACTTTCCCAGCAATTGGCCATAATTGTTTCTTAGTATGCTTAAAGATCTTCATTCCATCAATATGTACTTGTAATCTGATCTTGTCTTCATTAAAAACGTCTGGAGTAATTCGACTTTCTAGACCATTACTAATCCCAAGATAAACGTAGTCACCGATGGTGTTTTGATGACAAATCCTCTGTCTGGATTTAATTTTGTGTTTAAATCCCAACAATTTAGAAGCTGATCGTGGGATTCCAAGGTAGCCTTCACTATTCACGATCTCCAACACTCCAGAAATAGTCTTCAATTTAGTGCCAGATAAATTATCCAGAGCCCATTTCAGTAGTTTTGCTTTCATACGTGCATGTGCATCTCCAGGACCTTCACTGATTGAGATATCCATTTCTTCAGCTGATGAATTTCTCCCTGAGCTGTCAGCTGACAAGTGAATTGAACTGGAGTCATTGTTTCCAATACCGTCTTTGTTAAACGAGAAATAATCATATATAGAGGCATCGATGCCATGCTCGTTCACTGCAAACTCATCACTTAATGAATCACTGTTTTTCTGAATGTCAGCAGTCTTCTGATCACATGGATCATCAGGCAAATCTACCCACTCATCCGCACTGTCCACATTCAATCCGCTTTGATCACTATTTTCACTGTAATTTGCGCTACCAATAGAAAAAGCATGGTCAAGCTCACGAAGTTTTTTTAAATAACGGTGTTTCTTTACTCTATCTCTAGATTTAGAGTATTTAGGCGGAAGCGAATACATGATTCAGAAACAATGAATGAATTGTGATTCTATTGGGCACATTAAAATGTGAGGTTATGAAATGATGTTATGTATTAGTCATCAGCAACCGCGATTCTTCCAGTGCCTCTATGGGATTCCTAGATGGTAACTATGTTATGTACATTAACACCGCTAATATTCAAATCTGGTATGAAAATTATTATAATCTTCTTTCATATTTTCTTCACGGAAAGGAAAATATCCTCCCTATGAGAAGACTTCCCTACTATGAGAAAACATATTCTTATTATAATAAGCAAATATATTCTTTCATTATGATTTTTCCTTACTTGGATCTACCTAGGTATCACAGGTTTGGCCAAGCTTGGCTGTACCTCCCTGTTCAAGCTAGGAATTCCCAGCTTGGAGTATGCTTTGTACAACCTTGATGTTATAGGTTGTATTCATGAAGAATTCCGAAGCTTGGATCTACCTAGGTATCACAGGTTTAGCCAAGCTTGGCTAAACCCCCGCGGTTAAAGCTAGGAATTTTCAGTTTGGAGTAGGCTTCGTACAACCTTGCTGCTATAACTTGTATTCATGAGGAATCATCAAGCTTGGATCTACCTATGTGTCACAGGTTTGGCCAAGCTTGGCTGAACCCGCCTGTTCAAGCTAGGAATTCCCAGATTGGAGTAGGCTTCGTACAACCTTGCTGCTATAACTTGTATTCATGAGGAATCATCAAGCTTGGATCTACCTATGTGTCACAGGTTTGGCCAAGCTTGGCTGAACCCGCCTGTTCAAGCTAGGAATTCCCAGATTGGAGTAGGCTTCGTACAACCTTGCTGCTATAACTTGTATTCATGAGGAATCATGAAGCTTGGATCTACCTATATGTCACAGGTTTGGCCAAGCTTGGCTGAACCCGCCTGCTCAAGCTAGGAATTCCCAGCTTGGAGTATGCTTCGTACAATCTCGATGCTATAGGTTGTATTCATGAGGAATTACGAAGCTTGGATCTACCTGGATATTACAGGTTTAGCCAAGCTTGGTTGAACCCCCTTCTTGAAGCTAGGAATTTTCAGCTTGGAGTAGGCTTCGTACAACCTTGCTGCTATAGCTTGTATTCATGAGGAATCATGAAGCTCGAATCTACCTAGGTATCCCAGGTTTGGCCAAATTTGGCTGAACTCCCCTGTTGAAGCTAGGAATCTCAAGCTTGTAGTATGCGTCGTACAACCTTGACGCCATGGCTGTTATTCGCGAGGAATCCCGAAGCTTGGATCCACCTAGGTATCATAGCTTGGATCAAGCTGGACTGAAGACCTTCTGTCGAAGCTAGGACTACCAAGCTTGGATCAGGCTTGGTACAGCCTTTCCATCAAAGCTTGGATCTGCAAGGTAACGCCAAGCTTGGATTTACCTAGGTCAAACCATGGGACCGAGCATGGTCGAAGCTAAGATTTCCAAGCTTTGATATCCAAGGTTGGAACAAGCTTGTTCCCATCGTCAAGCTTGGAATTCCTCACCTGGGAGGTGTTTCTAGGGCGTGATTTTAGGGAGTTATATATGGGAAGTAGCTTATATATGGGAAGGGTTCATATATGTGGGATTTCATGCATGGGGAGAGGTTTTTATGGGTGATTGTTTATTAACGGTTGTGCGCTCTCAACCGATAAGGGGGGGAGGTCTCATATATAGAGGGGGGAGGTTGTTAGAGCTGGATTGCATTGATAGTTGAACAGGGTTATATTTAGGGTCTTATACAATGGGGGGATTATATAAGGGTCGACAATATAAAAGAATCAACACTGAAGTTAAATAATGAAATGACATAAGGATCAGAAATAAGAGTCAAAATTAAGGGCCTCGAGAGTCAAGTGTAATGGTCCGAAATAAGCGCAGAAATACCAATAAAAAATGAAGGTCAGAAATGAGGAAAAAACTAAAGATCAGGAGGGTCAAATGTGAAGATGAAAAATAATGGTCAGGTGTGATGATCAAAAACAAGGGTCACAAAATACAAGGAGTTGAAACAAAGGTTGAAACTAAGCGTCACAAACCCGGGTAGAAATTTTAGTACTTGGCTGGTCAGGCCCTGGTCCGCTGTGCCGTAGAAAAGACCCAGCCCTGTTACGGTTACCACATCAGGGCCTGATAGGAAATGTAACGCAAAGCATGATCAGGACCTGATTTCTAAACCTGATAAGGGCCGTGACAGGCCTGGTTTCGCCCTTACCTGGCATAGACTTTGCTACAAATTGATAAATTACTAACTGAATTATTAAATTGGGCCAAAAATGAATAATAATAAATAAATAAAGTCCCAGAATAGGCGGGTCGGGAAAAAAAAGAAAAAAAAATCACCCAGAGCGGGACTTAATCTCGGGACCTTCCGCGTAGCAGTTTTGTACCCTATCCACTCGACCACCGTATCATTCTTAAAAATCATCGTTTCTTTTGAGTATATCAATAATACTCCCAATAAAATTGTAGTATTGAACTAAATCTAGAATAATATCAATTAATATAATTTTCCTGATCATCATCCCCCCTCCCCTCCGACCCACTTCCCTGTACCATTTCCACCTCGACTCTTTGTTTGGTGAAAATTTTTGGTTGAAAATTTTGGTGGAAAAGGCCCGTACGGCATGCCTTATCTGGACCTGATCATTGCCGGATCAGGTTCGCCGTATTGAACTTATAGAATTTTCGAGATTAAGGATTCCCGGCATACCTTACCTGGTCCTGATCATAGCCGGATCGAGTTGGCCGTATCCGGTATACTCAACAAGCACTCGTGTTCAATCAAAACAGGCTGAAAAAGACCCCGGAATTTCCCTTATCAGACATGCCTGATGTAATTTTAATTTTTCTCTATCACGGTACGCTCAAAAGGCCCTGACTGTGAACATGCAATGGTCCCCTTCAGGACCTGATCTGGCATGCCGTAATCAGGTATACCGTTTCGATACCGGAGCAGGGCTTTCTCTGCCAAAAGGTTTGCCTGACGAAATTTCTACTCGGGAAAATGAGAGTGAGAAATCAGACCCGGAAATAAGGGTCAGAAGTAAGGGACAGAAATGAGCCTCAAGAATCAGGATAAAGAGAAAGGATCACAAGTGAGGATCGAAAAGAAGGATCAATAATAGAGGCCAAAAAGGGGGGTAGAAGAGAAACAAAGGTCAGAGTAAAGATTTTTTAAAAATCGGAGCTAAATAAGGGTCGAAATTAAGGATCATGAGAGTCAGATTTACGCTTATTCAGACACTCGATCTGAATCAAGTCAAAAAATCGACTTGAGTCTGACCGACGTGCCGATTTGCATCTCTTCGACTCAGACTTAATTCATGTCGTGGATCCGACATGGAATAAGTCGACTCCCGGCATAATTCAATTCAACTTGATTCAGGATGATTTTTCTTGGATGTATAAATCTTTCCCACTTTCAGCCGTATAATTTGCATGCGCTGCGGCTAAGAGTATTAGAATACATAAAACAGAATACCTGAGAAAATTCGTAATTGTACATTAACGGGGTATTTGAGAAATGGCATTTTTTACGAAAAAAAATCGACGAATTAATATCGTTCGAAATTTAATCAGGCATAAATTACATTCTAAGAGTCTTTGAGTGCATGAAACGCAATGAGAATCTCGAAAATTTCACGCGGTACTACAATCAACAAATAATAGTAGGAAAGCGATTGGTGTGCCTATTAGAATATCATACTCCAAAATCCATCAGTTGTTACCGAGATAAATACAAGACTATGGAACATTTCGAATCCGGGTTCACGTATAATAATTTATGTGGAATTTCTGGAGAAATTCATATGAGCTCATATTTCATGTTATATTGCTATAAAATTCTAGTCTTTCTCAATTGATTCTAAAATATATGGCGATGGAGGAATCATTCATTTATATATATGCGTACTTTCTATTCAAAGAAAAATCCAGTTTAAATTAAATTATTCGAATTTAAAAGTGTCAAGAATAAATTTGCAAAGGTTCCCTCCACGATGAAAATTTTATAAATTTCCGAAATTATTTATCAAATTTATATTCAATGTTTACTTTTATTGATGATGCAGCGGAGGACAACAAAGACGAGTATCTTTTGCTGTTGCCCTTATGCACGATCCAGAGCTCCTTATTCTCGATGAGCCCACTGTTGGTGTGGATCCCCTCCTCAGACAGAGGTATGTACCAAAATTATAATAATAACAATTATTGAAATAAGAGCAAAATTCTCGCATTCTATCGCAGAGCACTTAAACTTAAAAATGCACATGCCTCTAGAAAATCATCGTGAATCAACATTCAATCTTGACGATGTGGCTATTATGGTTCAAAGTACAAGGCAGGTGTCACTACAGAAATCTCTGAAAAAAACGCGAGAAAAAAAAGGAGATGTCTCAAGCGTAACAACTCGTGAATAATTTATAAATTGAGGCATGTAATTCCGCGAATTAACTCCATAACGCGATCAGAGCGATGACGATTCGCCTCCGAAAGAGACCACTTTTTCGAAAAAAAATTATTAAATTACTCATTTTTATAGATAACCTTTACATTTACACAATTTTGTCCAATTTTTTTTTCTATCTTGGTGCAGTGGAAAGGATATAAATAGTAAATATTTTGTTTTAACAAATACTATTTTTATTTTTGATGGAATTCGTTGTAAATTTATGTCAGAACTTCAAACTGGGCATCGTCCAAGGGCCTTCACTCAAGTATTCACATTCAATATACACCATAATTAGACGAGAAAAGGATGATAAATTGTCAACTCATCGAAAAAATGAAAAAAAAAAAAATCAAAATGAGTTTTGCAAGATTTGGAATGTGATGACAGTACAGCATTAAGTGATGAAATGATGAATAAGGAGACATACAGAAAATCAGGACCTATTCTTGGAGAACAGCTAGGCCTTCCCTGCAGTTACAGACGAAAGTTTGCGTTCCAATGGCCATAAGATTCTCAAACAAGACGTGCGACGAATATTTATATAACAAGATCTGAATTTGGAATTGCACTTGTGGCAGGGGTCCATATGTAAATGAAATATAAAATCGCTAAAGAATAAGTAAAGAATTAAATGGATAACTATATAGGGTGACCAGGCCAATTGCTGGACGGTTAAAGGAAATTCGAGTTTCGTGGTAGGATCTAAAATAAAAGAATCACCTAAATGGGGATATGATGGTTTCCATACCTTCAAGAATGTTTTAATTAGCAGAAAAAAATTATTTAAAGTAAAAATAATAAAACAAAGAATAATTAAATTGAGAAATAGTTGAATGTAGCCGAAACCCCCAATTTCTGGATGACTGGGTCATATTTTTTTTATTTATTAAATATTGATCAATAGACGAAAATAATTGATTACATGATTATACACAACTGATATTATGGATAGGTGAAATAATTGATACAATTTTCATTTTATTTGTGGAATATTCAATGCAAGTTGAAATCATCCAGAAACTAACCCCCGTCCAGAAATTGACCTGTTTACCCTATTTTCACACACCTGCCAGTTCGTACTTGGCTCCTTGATGGGCGGAACGATAGTGAACACTTCCCACCCTCGGGGGGAAAGTATTATGATTACTTTTCACCGAAGGGCGGAAAGTCAGTACTTTTCTCCCCTCACTATTTTCCTCCTCGGGAACAACTTTCTATACTTGAGCGGAAAGTATTCACTTTCATCTCCCTCATTAGAAAGCAAAATACAAACTTTCCGTTGCAGGCGTGTAAAATAGTATTTTTCAGTACATGTGGGGCAATTTCGTCTTTAACGTGTGTGGGCTTTACAGCATGAGCCGAAGGCGAGTGATGTAACCACACACGTTAAGGACAAAATTTCCCAACAAGTACTGAACAAAATTTTAGGTCACGAAGCCTGAAACCGGCTGAATTAGACACGAGACGCGAAACGTCGAGTGTGTAATCCAGCCAGTTTCAGGCATGAGTGGCATAATAGTATATTGTGTACCAAGGGCGGAAAGTCATGTTTTTCCCGCACGAGGTGCACATGCTATTTTTTAACACGCCTGCTAAGAAAAGTTTGTATTTTGCTTTCTGATGAGCGGGAGGAAAGTACGAACTTTCCGTGCAGGGGTGGAAAAAAGGCCATTCCAGGCTGCGGTAAACATGTGGGTTGAAATGTCCTCTTTTCCCTCCTAGATGCAGATATTATTTTTCGCCCCGACGAAAATGTCCTGTTTTCCTTCCTTGGTGCACAATCTACTATTTAAAACAATTTGACTATGGGTCACACTTTCGAATTATTACCAAAAATGCCATGATTTTTCTTTTTTTATATCAATTTAGTGAAAGGCAAAGATTGTTCATCGGCCTTTTACTTTCCAGCAAAGTTTTCCTTCACTTCACATTCAGAAAAAAATTCATTTTTCTCCAACATCCCGTGGTATTTTTAGCTCTGACATTTATACTTTGTTTAATTATCTCATTTCAGTATCTGGAATCATTTGGTACAAATCACGAAGGATGGAAACAAAACCGTCATCATTACGACTCATTATATCGAGGAAGCGAGACAAGCGCACACGGTAGCCAATTATTAAATACATCATTCCTATCCAATTGGAAAATGTACAGCAATTCTCTTGCCCGTTCTTTTCATATCTATTCTCTTTCGCTATTGGCCTAAACTTGTCAAAATTAAGAAGATGAAAGTTGATGTTTGTCATTGTAATTGCTCGGGCATTTCTTGAATTGAAAATGAGCTGATTGTGATTAATTGATTGAATTTGAATTTGTTATGCAGATTGGACTAATGAGAAGTGGGAGATTACTTGCCGAGGAGTCACCCAGGGCACTTCTGACGATGTATAATTGCCCATCTCTTGAGGAAGTATTCTTGAAATTGTCAAGGAAACAGACCAATAATCAATCTAATACTGAGTTTAATATTTCGAATAATATTAGTTTGGTAAGTTTATGCTTGTGTTCTCTTATTCTCAAGTCTCCGATTAATTCCAAAGCATAACCAAAGTAATATTTAATGAAAACTATTCGGTCTTTCAATGAAAATGCTATGAACAAGTGACAAAATATGATCTTTTGATTTTTTCGGTGTATGCAGAATTTTTAGAAACTTGTTTGATTTTTAAAATCATCACAAATTCAATTGAATGAATAAAAATCTACTTTTCATTAATGAATTATTGATTTTTAAGCCAAATCAAGAACCAAAGGTAATGAACCGATTTGAAAAATAAATATCAAAATAAAACAAATTTCTTAATTGATATTCAAACTAATTATGTTTTCAAAGCCCACACAAGAAGAAGAGGTAATGAACTGTACGAACATATTCATGTTAAGGTCTGGCTCCATTATCTGTTGAACGTTATCTAAATTGATTTTTTTGTTCGATTTTTATCTCGAAATTTCAACTCGATAATTCTAAATTTTAATTTTTAAAAAAGTAAAAGAAAATCTAAAAATTTTTAATTAATATTGAAGAATTATTTCAATAGAGGAGATAGGAATAATGTATAATTACCGTGGCAAATGGCGGCTTGTCGGTCGCTACCGTGGGGAAGGAAAGTCGCAATAATAAATCCTTTGGCACACCGCAACAAGACGATTGTACGAAAAAAGACTTTGAAAAAATTTGTAACAGTTTAAAGAATTTTTTGATCACACTTTTATGATGAATTACTAATCACTCACGCTAATCTCCTCCATTGATAATTGTACTGGCAATCAGCTGTCACTTTTGCCGGGAATTGAAAATATAGGAAGATCGTTCTTCTTTTCATTTTTTGCGCCACGAACAAACGTCACAGTTGACGGATAGTACAATTTTCAATTGAGGAGATTGTAAGTGATTAGTAGTTCATCGTGAGTGTGATAAAAAAAATGCTTAAAAATCTTACAAAATTTTTCAAAGAGCCTTTTTTCATACAATCGTCTGGTTGCGCTGTACCAAAGGATTTAATATGTCATCTTTCCTCCCCCCCTATGTTAGCGACTGACAGACCGCCATTTGCCACGGTAATTATACATTATTCATATCACCTCTATTGAACTCATTCCTCAATTATAATTAAAAACGCTCTTTCAAAATGTTCAGAATCTTTCTTTACTGTTTTATCAATCCAAATTCATAATTTTCGGGGATCTCTGAGTGACGGGGCATCGAGCTGAAATTTCGAGATAACATTGGAACAAAAAAAGCAGTCTACTATCCTTTTCAAAAGTGTAGTCCGCAAACTTTGAGGGGTCATGTCTTTGAGAAAAAAAAATCGCATCAATACGGGACTGATCTCATTCATTAGGTTCATTATTCCTCTTGTCCAGTACGGAGTTTCATTTATTTTTATCGGATAGTTTTTACGCTATCTCGTTTGAAATATGAGAAAACCCATGTTTTTCGGGTGCCGTAAGAGTTCATAAACTTCGGCCTTCTCTCAGCACTCCAATTTTATTTCCAAAATTATCCCAATTTTTTATATGATAATTCACACCTTCAAGAATTGAGCAGTGGAGAAAAAAATCAATTTTTTCAATAATTTTCCTTTTTTTAAATTAAAATATGACATAAGGCTATTTTCAATTGGAATCAACCCACGGAATTGAAAAAAATATCCTACGACGTGAAATGAAAAATTAAAAAGATTCCAATGATTTTTAATTATGTAAATTATTCCAAACATTTTATAAAAATTCTTGAATTTTTCCGGCAAACCCATTATGATGTTAGCCGCAAATCCTCATGATTTTACTATAGGGTTACCTTTCGGACCCGGAAAATCCTTTCCACATGTTCTGTTTTCTAGTTGTCCCAGGAGCAGGACAAGGAACTCGGGGGCCCTGAGAAAAATAACCGTTCTGAATCCAATTTATTTTTGTAATATTGAGACATCGATTCAAACTCATAATTAAGATTTATGGATTGTCGCTGAAAAGTTAAAAAATATGAGATATCCCATGTGAACTCAACGTGATCAAAACGTACATTGTCGTCAATCAAATTTTGGAACTTTTGTAGTCATTCATCATGAATTCATATTTATGTTCAAATTATAAATCAAAACTATGCAATGGGATTTCCACTTCGGCCTCCGGTGACAATTTATTTTGATCCAATGTATTCACTGAAATTTTTAGAAAAAAATTTAAAAACTCCAATTTCAAAATTAGCCGTTTTTAGATATTTTTTAAGGTTTTTCTGAAGAAATTTGGGATGGCAGCTTATTGACCACGTTCAGTTTCAAATGGAAAAATGAATGAACGAGTTTCGTACATTTAAACAATTGGAGGCCCTGAAAAGGGCCGATGGATTAAATACCTGTGGAAAATAAATGTTTTTTTTACCACTTTTTTTTCAAATTCACAATTCTATTCATACCCTTTTAAAGATGATTGTAATTCACAGATATGATTTCACTATTTCATAAAAATCCCATTTATTCTGAAGTTGAACTTGAAAAATAAAGTGTTTCCTCGGAATCAGGGTCATCATCATTTACGTGAATAACAAATGAATCCATGCATGGCCATCATGCTTTCTTTTTCACGATATTTATCCTCCAATTTCCGAACATGCTCCACACATTTTTTCCATAATTCTTTCGNTTAAAATATGACATAAGGCTATTTTCAATTGGAATCAACCCACGGAATTGAAAAAAATATCCTACGACGTGAAATGAAAAATTAAAAAGATTCCAATGATTTTTAATTATGTAAATTATTCCAAACATTTTATAAAAATTCTTGAATTTTTCCGGCAAACACATTATGATGTTAGCCGCAAATCCTCATGGTTTTACTATAGGGTTACCTTTCGGACCCGGAAAATCCTTTCCACATGTTCTGTTTTCTAGTTGTCCCAGGAGCGGGACAAGGAACTCGGGGGCCCTGAGAAAAATAACCGTTCTGAATCCAATTTATTTTTGTAATATTGAGACATCGATTCAAACTCATAATTAAGATTTATGGATTGTCGCTGAAAAGTTAAAAAATATGAGATATCCCATGTGAACTCAACGTGATCAAAACGTACATTGTCGTCAATCAAATTTTGGAACTTTTGTAGTCATTCATCATGAATTCATATTTATGTTCAAATTATAAATCAAAACTATGCAATGGGATTTCCACTTCGGCCTCCGGTGACAATTTATTTTGATCCAATGTATTCACTGAAATTTTTAGAAAAAAATTTAAAAACTCCAATTTCAAAATTAGCCGTTTTTAGATATTTTTTAAGGTTTTTCTGAAGAAATTTGGGATGGCAGCTTATTGACCACGTTCAGTTTCAAATGGAAAAATGAATGAACGAGTTTCGTACATTTAAACAATTGGAGGCCCTGAAAAGGGCCGATGGATTAAATACCTGTGGAAAATAAATGTTTTTTTTACCACTTTTTTTTCAAATTCACAATTCTATTCATACCCTTTTAAAGATGATTGTAATTCACAGATATGATTTCACTATTTCATAAAAATCCCATTTATTCTGAAGTTGAACTTGAAAAATAAAGTGTTTCCTCGGAATCAGGGTCATCATCATTTACGTGAATAACAAATGAATCCATGCATGGCCATCATGCTTTCTTTTTCACGATATTTATCCTCCAATTTCCGAACATGCTCCACACATTTTTTCCATAATTCTTTCGTCACTAAATTCATTGCATTCTCGCATAGTCGGCACACGTCATTGACTTTAAAAGTATTATTCTGAAGAGCAACTTGACTTTTCACATTTGCCCAAATCAACTCAATAGCATTGAGTTCGCAATGAGCGACTGGAAGTCAATAATTTTACGCCATTTTCCTTCGCGATTTTATCCAAAAGATGAGATTTCTCAAAAAAATGAGGTTTAGCTAAATTATAAAGTTGAACTTTCGTTAATGTTTCAAAGGAAATGACATCCCGTGGCAATGGTACATTTCTTTCAATTAACCATTGAATGGTGGCAGCTTTTGTCGACGCCTTTGTTGGATTACGTTTTTCAGGATCGAGTGTAGTATGATATGGAGCTAAGTCAATGACGATTACCGATTTTGCGGGCAAGACTGTCAAGATCTTCGTAAACCACTCTGTGTAATGCTCTGAATTCATTTCATTGTGATAATCCCCATCTTTCTTACCAACNAGATTGCCTGGACTAACATGCTGGACTCGTGATAGGTAAAAATCAAAACTGTCTACATTTTCTTCGAATGAAGTATCCTTTACCCACCCAAATTTTTTCGTGTGATTAGCACCGCACCAAGTTTCATCAGNACCTGCTCCAGACGGAACTAGAAATCCCCCTCGCAAAGAAGCTACATAGTACAGGCAATCTAGCATTGCAAATGCAAATTAGTCGCGCTTCAATGAAATTTATACCAAACGTCCAGAATATTGCCCTGAACAACATATCAAAATGGAGAGGGTCTAGGTGTTTCAATTATATTTTTAATTATTAAAAAACTTGAAAATTCGAGGGTTAACGCCAAGAACACGAATAACTTTCATTCAGAATATCCAATTGAGAATAGAAAAATATCAGTTTGTTGAGCAAGAAAAACTCAACAAATCATAAGCGAGAACCTATCCCCTAGGAGTTNAATTTTTCCATCGTCGGATGTTTTATTCACATAAAAATCTAGAATTTTTCTACGTATGACGCCAATGAAAAATTCATCAGAAGATATGCGAGAGCGACCGCTTCTTTTCCGTGGTTCAGAGAGGAAACCGNGATTGTAGTATATTTACAATTTTTCAATTCATAACTCCTCCAAAGAATATCATCGTAATTACATTAATATACATTAATATATATAGAATATGTCTCAATAAATTTTTTCTTTGAATGTTCTGTGCATAGCGCCGATGTGAGTGGGTTGCGTGCGCAGCAGGTGGTGGGCCTTGCGCTAACAGCTGATTGTTTTAGGCAATTGTAAATAGTACGTAGTTATGAATTAATTTTTAAAAAAACGATAACTCCTAGGGGATAGGTTCTCGCTTATGATTTGTTGAGTTTTTCTTGCTCAACAAACTGATATTTTTCTATTCTCAATTGGATATTCTGAATGAAAGTTATTCGTGTTCTTGGCGTTAACCCTCGAATTTTCAATAGTTCTTTAATAATTAAAAATATAGTTGAAACACCTAGACCCTCTCCATTTTGATATGTTGTTCAGGGCAATATTCTGGACGTTTGGTATAAATTTCATCGAAGCGCGACTAATTTGCATTTACTCAAGTATGTGGCTTTTCTAGATTGCCTGGACTAACATGCTGGACTCGTGATAGGTAAAAATCAAAACTGTCTACATTTTCTTCGAATGAAGTATCCTTTACCCACCCAAATTTTTTCGTGTGATTAGCACCGCACCAAGTTTCATCAGTATAAAAAATTGTATAACCCGCGTCTCTATATTTTTTAATTTGATTCAAGAACTCTCGACGTTTTCGCACAATTTCTGGACTCTCCATGAGGATTGGTTTCCGATTATATGCTTTATATTTAAAATTCATCCGTCTAACTATACGCCATAATGTTACGTCACTCATATTGGGAAAATCGGCAACATCGTTTTTCAAATTTCTATGCAATTTTTCCATCGTCGGATGTTTTATTCACATAAAAATCTAGAATTTTTCTACGTATGACGCCAATGAAAAATTCATCAGAAGATATGCGAGAGCGACCGCTTCTTTTCCGTGGTTCAGAGAGGAAACCGTACTTTTTTTTCTCAGCAATGACGCGTCTTACACTACGATCGGAAAATTCAAAACAATGAGCAGTCAATTCTGTAGGTGTGTTGGTGGAGATGAGTGAACCATTTTTTCTGTGTTCCTCCAATAAATTATATGATGATAGAATTGCTTTTTTGTATCATAAATCGAATTCCTGGCGGGATTTCCCCAGCGATAACTTGCGTCGTTTTCGGGGAGGTTCAGAACTTCCCGATTCACTTTCTTCAGAGGCAACGATAAATTTCTCATTCCTATCCCGAAGATTCTGACATTCACTCGCATGCATTGGGGAATCTTCAACAATATTTATTTCCGTTTCGGCAATAATTGCCTGATTCATTGGCTCCGAAAACGTATTGTTCTCTATAATCAATTGTGATTCGGTGGAAGTATTCAATGCTTCACAAGGCGCACCCGCTTCTTCTACACTATTCACTCCATTTGAAATGATACCCTCCTCTTCTCTGCGCACTGGCTTCAATAACTGGAAATGACCATCCAAATCATGATCTCGTCGCATGCCCATGAACAATAAATATACCAAATCAGCATGCGGTGAAAGTGGAAAATCGTATTTGAAATATGAACCATCTGCATTGACACGATATATAATTATGTTAACCTTGAAAAACTCAGATGCAGCGCGACATTCAACATCTGATCCATAAGTCCCCGATTTGCTCATATAAACAGAATAATCCCGTGCATTCCGCAAGTTCTGGAATGTGGATTCAATCCAAACTTATGAAGATCCCAAAATGCAATAACATAATTAACAATACTTGTTCGAACACGCTGATGCGTTAGCCGTATGCTCCCGTCTTGTAATCCCAGAGCCAGTGCTTTGAATAAATAATCACCACCACCACCAGCGTCCACCACCTCATATAATACATTATCAAATGTTTTTTGAGACATATCATGTTACTGATCAAGTAATCGTTACTAAACCAGAAAAAAATTCACTCAATTCTTCGAACGGTTTGAAGTGCTCCCAACGAAATTTTGACTTGAACTGAATTTTCATGCAAAACTTCCCGATTATTACGAAAATGGATCTGCATCCTCATTGGTTATTTTATATTCGAGAAGGGATAACTAAGGGTTCCAATACTTCTCGTTTATGATTGCAGTTTAATTTACGATGACAGCACCGATCTTACAAACAATGAAAAACTGCTCTCATTGTTCAAATACAGGTCGAAATATTGAGAGGTCGAATGTAGGAAGAATGTTGAATATAGTGTATATTTTTCAATAATCCATTTCGGACCGATCATAAAAACCTCGAACAAAAGTAATGAAAACAATGGATACTGATGAGGACGAGAAACAACCCAAAAGTCCCGAAGAAAGAGGAAAGAATGAAGCTTACCCAGAAATGAATTAATAGTACCGTAGATTTCATTGCCTTCTTTTATGCTGGAAATAATAATCGAGCGAATAATATTTGACAATTTTATTCCACGTACCGGGGGATTCCCCCATTGTTTGAACCTACTCTCTGAATCATTATGATGAGTATCGAAGAAGCAGAAATGGAAAATTTTTCGACGCATGGATTATTTACGATTTATTGAGTTTTTCCATTTGCGGAGATAGAAAATATTTTTGAATATGGAATGAAGAATGATAAATTTAGTAATAATAAATATTACCAGTCTGGTAATGCACTGTATCTGCAAATTAGGAATAAAATTACTAAAATGGTAATATTTAACATTACCGAATTTTTAATCTTCAATTCCCGAATTAATGATATTGTCTTTTCTGTGTTTATTCTTAAAATAATTTGCATAGTCCGTTTGTAGCCCCTTCAGCCCCCAAATCGTATTCGAGTGAAGCCCGCCCGGCCCTGGAAGAGGTGGACTGCACATGTGGGAGCAATTCCAAGGGTTCGAGAGGTAACCCAACCCTAAACTTATAATGACCTGCGGTCAATGAAAAAACGCAAACTTCAAGAATTTTTATAAAATATTTGGAATAGTTTACATGATTGAAAATAACTGGAATCATCTTATTTTTTCATATCACGTCGTATGATATTTTTTCAATTTCGTGGGTTGATTCCAATTGAAGATAGCCTCATGTGATATTTTAATTTAAAAAAAGGAAAATTATTGAAAAATTTGATTTTTTTCTCCACTGCTCAATTCTTGAAGGTGTGAATTATCGTATAAAAAATTGGGATAATTTTGGAAATAAAATTGAAGTGCTGAGAGAAGGCCGAAGTTTATGAATTCTCACGGCACCCGAAAAACATGGGTTTTTTCATATTTCAAACGAGATAGCGCAAAAACTATCCGATAAAAATAAATGAAACTCCGTACTGGACAAGAAGAATAGTGAACCTAAAGAATGAGATTGGTCCCGTATTGATGCGATTTTTTTTCTCAAAGATATGGCCCCTCAAAGTTTGCGGCCTACACTTTTGAAAAGGATAGTAGATAACGTTCGGCAGATAATCGAGCCGGGCCTTAAGAGAGGAAATTAACTAATGAAGACTTAGGAGTATCGTTGATATGACTCAAAGAATTTTCATTAATTTTCTGTAATGGATTATATTACAGGCATCATTGAACTGGGGAAAGAAGGACGAACCTGTCTACGTAACCGAAGAGTCTGGCGTGGTGGGTCTCAACTTCCATCAGAGCAAAGAGGTCCTCATCCATGACACAACAAATGGTGTTGGCAGTCATTACGACGTGAGTTCAAACTCCACAAATTGAAATTAACTTTATGGCACGCCGTGCAATAAGTGGAGTTTATCGCTCGCCTTCGGCTCGGCCTGTAAACTTCACATTCGTCGAAAACGAAATTTGTGCCCTTATACTCTAATGTACTATAGCGATTGCCCGACAAAAAATTATTGGGTCAGAAATATTTCGCTCTACAAAGAATTTTTCTGAAAAATTGTTAAAAATTTCAAATGTTGTATACAAACGGAATACAATTTTCATTTAAAGTTTTTTATTCAACAATTGTATGGTTTTTTCATTCCATTTTCAATCAGCCGCTTATAAACCCAATATAATTCTCATGAACTACCGCTGTACTCAAAAGTTCAAAGAATCGTTTTTTTTTTCAATTCGCAAAACTCTCCACAAGACAAGTATTTAAACAACAACTTTCGATTGGACAATACCTCTATGAGGGTTTTATCCACTTGTACTGATTGGAGATCAACTAGGCATGGAAGAAATTTCAAAAAGAGGCTATTTTCAAGTTTGAAAAAGTATAGTGGATCAATGTGAAAGTTCCACGTACCTTTCAGGCCGCAAAAACGAATGAATTTTGGCATATTAGCATTTCGAAATATTGACATTTTCGCTATTTTAGCATATTGGTAGTTTGACATTTCGACAGATTCGCCATGAGCTGGTTAAATAAAACCTCGGTTCCGAGGTACGAGTTGACTACCTAGGTAGACCAAGTTGTTACATCTCCGGAACTACTGAACCGATTGGGCGACAAAGTTGAGTTTAACCACAGTTGTCCGCTGCCATAATTATCCAACCGTCGAGATAAAAATCTGAAATTAATTTCAGATTTTTATCTCGGCGGATTTCATCGTCTTTGTGCCACATTTTCTAAAAATAAATCACCCAAAACCGGAATTGTCCCACCCATAGCTACGGACATGTCATAGAAAACAATTTCAAAAATTAAAAAATGTCAACATCCGACAAATACAAAACTTCCAATCGGAAGCTAACAAGTAGGCGAGTCCATTCGACAGAAGCAATGTGACCGTTACTTTATGCGTTATTAGTCGTTTTTCTTTCTCTCTCTCCCAATTCCATTGGTAATACGCTTCCAAATGGACCTGTAGCAATGGTTCTAGGATAAATTTTGCCCTGAAAATCGTTCGTGGAAAATTATTCCTCGGAAAAATGTGTCCAATTTTTTTAACGCCGATTCCCGTTTTCATCGTCATTTCATTAAATATTGCATAATATAAAACAGAAACAAGCAGGGAACCGATCCTTTCTGTTAAAAGGCACGTGACCTTTACTTGATGTGTCATTTGACTTTTTCGTTTTTTATTTCTAGCAATTCCATTGGTAGTAAGTTTCCCAATAGATCCGTAGAAATATTATTTTTCAATTGAAAAAAAAAATTTTTTTTCTTGAAAAAAATCTTTTCCATGAAATGTTCGATCTTCTAAAATTAAGATTTAAAGTTCTGTTTTATCCAGAGGCATATCTACACGCCCCCATTTTAAAAAAATGTCTCCATGTGAAAATCAATGATAGAACAATGATATGTCATTTTACGCGAAAAACGTTTTCTACATCAACTGCTCTATTTCAAAAAGTATTGAATCGATCAATCTGAAATTTTACACAAGAGTGCAACTCGATGATACTATCTAGTCCTCAACATTTTAGAACGTCAAAGCAACTTTCAGTTAAAAAAAAATAGGAAAACGCCAATACCTCGAAAACTTTGTAGGAACCGGTATATATATTTTGAAAGAACTAGGTAGGACACGTCAAAACGAATATTTTGAAATAAAGAAAATTGCAGGCGGCTGTATCTTCAATACAGCTGTAATTGTACGTGGATACGTCCATGGTCTTTCCTTCTTTCTCGACTTTCCTAGAAACTCCTTACATTCTCTCGAATTTGCTAGGAACTTCTTAAATTCCCTCGAATTTTCTAGAAACTCCCTGAATTTCCTCGAAATTTCTAGAATCTCCTTGAATTTTTCTGAAATTTCAAGAAGCTTCTGGAATTACCTCGAAGTGTCTAGAATTTTCTAGAATTCCGATAGATGGCGCTGCACATAAGGACCGTTTCCCAAAACGACCCTCCATATTGAAACTATAGACGTATCCACGTCAATATCTAGACTGACCTTACCACTACACCGGATATTTACACTCTTTACTTGATACGATGTTAACTTTTTGATTGTCAATTAACGACTAACGGTGGAGCGTGCCGATCCGCCTTTTGTAGGGAAGTTTGAATTTACAAATTTCTGCACAGGAAATTTCTACGACTAACAACCTGTCGGTATCTAACTTGTCGATCAATCAACAGTTAGTAATGTATCGACAGTCAGAATCGCCGACAGATGGCACGACTACATAAGCATTTTTTTACCGAATGAACCCCCGAAATGAAACCATAGCCGTATCCACATAAAAAAAATTTCAATCGAATGAATAGTTTTCAGATATTGAACAATAGAATTTTATTTTTTAAAAATCAATATCTTTAAAACTATTTATTCGATTTCGCCCATCTGAAATCTCAGTCTGTGATCGAGATACGTGGTAGCGTATCGCCCAAGAAAAGTTTTGACGCCGGCTGTACAAAACATCAGGCCAAGCGCAGCGCATATCTATACACGACAGTACTTCCCCCTCCACTACCTCTAAATGATCGACATTCGTTATCGTAAAAACGGGAAGACAAATCGGAAAATTGTCCTTAGTTACATTATATAAAACGCCTATAAGCTTTTCAACGGTGTAACTATTGTATTTTTTGGATTAACAGTAAAAAAGATACACGCATAGCATCGGACTGATATCCACATTCTCGCGATTCACATTATAAAGTCGCAAAATCAAGTTACAACATCGGCAGCGCCTATTCAACTGAGCCTTACATCCAACGTCGAACTGTTACCATCAGTGCATTTAAATGTGGGTTGTGATGTTTTCGAGATATTTGCGTTTTTCTATTCTTTTCATCTCAGAGCTGATTTGACGTTCTAAAATACACACAGAAGTTGGAAAAAGAATTCTAAGAATTGTTCTTCGAAATTCGATATTTTGGGTAGTAATTAATATTATTGAGTCATACTAGTTTATAAAATTTTGAGCTGATAGATTCAATACATTTTGGCATAGAGCAATTCATGTGCAAATGTTTTATTGTCAAAAAATGAATGATTTTCGAATGATTTTCGAATCTGTATGGCTTAAGAAGCCATCTACCATACAATTATGTCCTTTTTTGTTTCATATTATGCCCATATTTGATGCTGTGACAGACACAAATGTGTAGAGGGTCATACGTTTTAAGGGTCGAATTTTGTAACGATTAGGGATTTTTATAGTTCAGGAGGTTCAAGGATCAGATGTTCATAATCCCCAATTATGCTCACGCTATCGAGAATGCTGGTTTTCTTTCTTAACAAGACGAAATATGTGGTCCTTTCTAGTCCTGGGTGAGTCTGTGGAAAATATGTTGATAAATCAACTTCATGTTTCACTTTTTAAGAGTTAAATATTAGGGTTCATACACGTCAAATATCGAATATTCTAAGATTGAAATGTTTTCATGGTTTAGGAGCTCCAAAGGCCAGATATTATGAGTATCAATTTTCTCATTCATAATCTAATTTGTTTTGAATAGAATTGATACAAAGCCATTCGGAAGCTTACTACTAATGGAATTGGTAGAATTGAAAAAAAGAAAATGAGTTATAAGGCATAAAAAACGGTCAGATCGCTTCTACCAAAAAGACTCGAACCTTTGCTTCTTTTGTTAAAATTAATAAAAAAATTCCCTGAATTTCGTACGCTCATTCTGACGTACACACAGACATGCTCTAAAAACATCATATCTCAACGTTTCATGGCATTCTAAGTCATTTCCGAGCAAAATTAGAGAATCGAAAAATCGACCGATTACAAAGCTTCCATTCGGACGTAAAAAACAAATTTTATACCATACGTGCGTGAAATCCGGCCGGTTTCAGTTGATTGTCGACCTACCGAAAGTGCCAGGTTTCATACTGTAGTGTGGAACCCTACACATCTGTGTATAATCCCGTGCGTAACCCATGGGCATGCGCAAATGCACGGGTCGATGCGCAGATCGATGCGCAAATCGTCGTTGCAATATCATCGTTGGATTCTACACATCCATTGCGCATCCACTCGCGCATCGACTCATAACATCGCCCACTGCCTCACTTGTTGGTATCCACATAACCCTCTCAATATTTTGTCGTTAAATTTATTCATGTATTCAATATAAAAGCAGTGAAATTAAATGAACAACCACATCATACCCGACAGTGACGAGGAGATTGATCTCTCGGGAGATTTATTTGATGGAGATTCGACATTCCTTATATTTTTTTATATTTGTAACCAAAGTTTAAAGTATAAAAAATATAAAGTTTAAAGTATATTTGTAACCAAAATTTAAAGTATTTTTTATGTAGAAAATGTTATATGTGAAAATAAATTTTCATCTAGTCGTTGAATCTATCCCTTCTAATTTCATTTATTTATTCATTTTTCAAATTTTCCTCACCCAATTAAATTGAGAAATTTGATTTTAAACAATTTCCAAGTCTGACCTTTTTTTTTATTTTTGATCTTGATTTTGATTTTTTTTGTTTTTCAGTGGTAGGGGGCCTTCGCCCCCCCCCTCCCAGCAGGGGCTCCGCCCCTGCACCCCGCGGGGGTTTCGCCCCTCGACCCCACCAGGGACTTCGTCCCTGGACCCTACCGGGGGGCTTCGCCCCCCTGGACCGCCTTCTGCCCCCCCGACCCCTTTTCGCCGCGCACGCACTTATGGTATAAAATAGTATACACAACTCGTGCGGGCAGCAAGCAGCTGCGCCGCCCCCGTGCGTAACCGCTTGCTTCCTGCACTTGTTGCGTAATATACTATTTATTATATGACTTTTTAAGTAAATCCGGGGGCTTATTCTCGAGTTGTGTGAAGACGAATTCGTGTGTAAGTTATCCCTAATTAAGTAGAAGTATTATGACTTGATTTGAAAAATTTAATTCAGTCGCGTACTTTTTGAGATATTGAAAAAAAAATATTTTCGATAAATTGCTGTATCTCAAAAACTACTTACCGATTGCACTAGAATTTCGCTCAGATGTGCTACCAAATAATCCCAATTATTTCACACAATTTTAGATTTTTAGCTTCAAGTTTACTCTTTTTTTCATGAAGATTTATTTAAAAATTTCAAAAAATCCGCACACACATAACCACATACACGCATATTTTCCAAAAACATTGTATCTTGACGTTTAATGATATTCTACATCATTTCCATGCAAAATTAGAATATCATAAAAATGGGACGATTACAAGACTTTCATTCGGAAGCAAAAACCTAAGGTTTCTCACATTCAGCCCTTTTCTTCTTAAACTATTTCCAAAACAAGCTCAAAAGTTTTCTTTCCTCTCCCAATAGTTGAACGGTAAGCCGCTCCCAGGAGTCAGAGAGGCCTCGACAGTCGAGTGTGATGACTGCGACTTTCCTGGATGTCTCGCAGATATCACAAGCACAGGCAAAATAAAGGCACTCCTTCAAAAGAATTTCCTCAGGATGTGGAGGAACGTTGGAGTGATGTTATTCATATTCGCCTTACCAGTGATGCAAGTCATCCTCTTCTGTCTGGCTATCGGAAGAGATCCAACTGGCTTAAAACTTGCAATAGTTAACCACGAGATGAATTGGGATACAAAGTACTGTCCGGTGTACTCAAATTGTAGTTTCTCCCATCTTAGCTGTCGATATCTCAACTTTTTGGACAATACAACAATGATAACAGAGCATTTCCGGACAAAAGACGAAGCTCTGATGGCGGTGGAAAGGGGAAAGGCATGGGGAACTCTGTACTTCACTGAGAATTTCACAGATGCTCTGTCCGCTAGAATGATCTTAGGAAGAGATGCTGATGAAGAGACGTTAGAACAGAGTGAGATCAAAGTTTGGCTCGATATGTCCAATCAGCAGATCGGCCTGATGCTGGCTAGGGATCTGCAGTACAGCTACAGAGATTTTGCCAAGCATCTTTTAGGTGCCTGTGAACAAAATACTGCACTTGCTGATGTGCCAATACAGTTTTTGGAGCCTATCTACGGCTCCAATGATCCTAGCTTCACGGACTTCGTTGCTCCTGGCGTTATTTTAACGTAAGTATTACATCCACAATGGAAAAGAACAGATCTGAGAATTATTCTCAGCACCCCGAGTCGAAATTTTACCGGGTCTCCCAACCTAGTTTCAATGTCCACTGGTGGGTTTAGGACGTTGAAAATACGTTGTTCAGTGTACAGGCTCAAATGCACCGATTCAACCTACTTTCGACGTAAATACAGTCTCTTTTTTCCATTTTTTCCAGATATTGTACGTTGAAATTAAGTTGAAACTAAACGTATCCCCAACGTTCCTCCACCGTACATTCTTTCCTTCCTTCCTCCCCCCTACCCTCTTCACACTACCAGTTCCATTTTAACATCGATTAATTGATTAAATCTTGCATAAATTAATCGGTGGAAGAATGGCAAAAATATAAATATTATTAACTCGGTGAAACAAAAATGGGAAAAAAAGAAAAAAAAACGGATCGGTCCATTGATTCTCGAGATATCCCTGCTTGTAGTTCTGCCGTGTTCCCTTTCGGTCACCCATCCTTTTTCTGGTTTTACTCGCTACTGCTCAAGCTCAGTGATCGCAGAATATCCCGGTATGGTTCTGAGCTGTACAGTTGCTTGTGGCGAGTTGTATTTGTTCGTGTTTATATAAGCAACTAATAAGAAGAAAAACAGGAAAAAACAGAAAGAAAGTAGGCAATAGAGTGATACAGAAAATTAAGAGGAAAGGAGTAGGGGGAGGAAATGAGAGGGAATTAGAGTCCATATAGGCCTAAGGAGTCGAAGGGTCGGACCCTTCATATAAGAGTCAGTGAGTGTAAAGATCCGATAAGTGTAAGAGTTAGTTGAGTCTGAAGGATCACGCGAATCTAAGGGTCAGATGATAAGGATCAGATGAGTATGAGGGCCAGATGGATATAAGGGTCAGCCGAGTCCGAAGAATCACATGAATCTGAGGGTCAAAAGGGTACGAAGGGTCAGGCGAATATAAGGGTCAGTTGAGTATGGGTCAGATAAGTAGAAGTCTGAGTTGAGTTTAAAGGTGAGATGCGTCTCAGTGATAGTTGAGTTTAAGGGTCAGATGGGTCTAAGGATTAGTTGAGTCCGAAGGATCACGCGAATTTGAGGGTCTGTTGAGTAAGGGTCAGATACGCAAAAGCTTTAGTTCAGTTTAAAGGTCAATTGCGTCCAAGTGTCAGTTGAGTTTAAGGGTCAGATGGGTCTAAGTATTATTTGAGTCCGAAGGATCAGGCGAATCTAAGAGTCAGTTGAGTCTAAGGGTCAAATAACTACAAAGGGTCAGGCGGATTTAAGGGTCAGTTGAGTGTGAAGGATCACGCAAATCTACGAATCAGTTGAGCCTAAGGGTCAAAAAAGTACGAAGGGTCAGGTGAATCTAAAGGTCAGATGAGTAAAAGGCTGAGTTGAGTTTAAGGGTCAGTTCAATCTAAAAGTCAGATAACCTTTGGCTCACCTGACCCTCAGAATCGATCTGACCCTCAGACTCATTTGACCCTTATCCTCGTCTTAGACTCATCTGACTCTCAGGCCCAATAGGGCCTTCGCACTCATCTGACCCATACACTCAACTGACCCTTACACACAACTGGCCCTTAAATTCAACTGACAGTTGAACTCAACTGAGATTTTTAATTATATGATCCTTACAAAACAGACCCTTGGATTCGTCTGACCCTTTGTACTCTTTTGACCCTTAGGCTCAGCTCACCTTTAAACTCAACTGACATTCCATCTCAACTGAGGCTTTCGCTTATCAGATCCTTAGATTCATGTAATCTTTTGGACTCAACTCACCCTTATACTCATCTGACCCTTATACTCAATTGATCCTTATACTCAACTAACCCTTCAGACGCACGATTGTTTGAACTTCGAACTAATGTTATTAATATACTAACACTAATAATTTAGTTACGTGAGTCTTTAACACGGTAATGAATTTTTCAATTATCGTCAATAATGACATTGATACAATCAAATGTAGACGTCGAAACTTACAACGTACGTTAACAGAAAACAAACATCAGTAACGTTGAGAGTACGTTTAATATACGGTGGATATTGAGTGTTTTTCAACGTCCGTGGGCCTTCACGTTGAGATAAGTTGAAAGTACGGTGAAAATTCGGCAGAAAATTTGAACATCAAAGCAATGTAGGTTCAAAACGTTGAAACTACGTCGGGAGACCCGGTAAAATTTTGACTCGGGATACTTTTCATAATTTCTGCGAAAGTTGGTTGTGATTAATAACATTCGGGAAATAATAATATGAAATATTAAGAAGAAATGAACAACTGAAATATTACATTTCTGGTGATTCTGGCATTTCTTGAACTACAAAGAAGGTCCCCTGATATACCAGCATCCATGAAACGGCCGTGAACAACTTTTCTGCCTCATATAATTACAGAACTCGCCTTCGGCTCGTCCTGTAACTTCATATTTGCCAGAAAAGTTCTTGACAGCCTAGTGTCAAAATATACTAATTTATCACCTAATGACATAATGTACTATTTCTTCGTTGTGTAGTACTTCGTTCAAGTTAGCAACTTTTTTTCAAGCAAGATTTCAGTTTTGGCGAAAATCTGGCCATCCCCATATTTCTTTCACATTTGTCATTGTTCACTATATTTTTTTCGGGAATTTCTTCAATGAATATTGTGAACAATATTTCATTCAATTTCACACATGACTCTCGTTGGTTAACCTCTAATGATCATGCGGTAACACTGCGCATGTTTTCTTCTATTCCAGATGACTTTATCCCAAATTCTTATAGGGGCAATGCCAAAACACTGCGCATGTATTCTATATAACCTCGTAAATTCCGTCCGAGTAATCACTTGAGCGGACCGTTAACAGACGTCAAGAACGCGCGGATTCAAACGACCCAATATGGCCGTTGCATAGCAATCAAGAAGCTTTTAATTTGATTGTCAGTCCGGCAACTTGTATTTTTCAATATCGCAAACAAAAACTAGAGTATAACGAACCAAAGCATACACGGTTATTTGTACGAGAAAATGCTTTAAGACAGTGAACTATCGGATTGAAGGTGGGGGTATACGGCTCTTACGGACGCAATGTGTTAAATTTAATTTTTTCAAAAATCGTTTTCTCGAGAAAATGTTTGGAACTAAGGTTGATATTGCGTCTAAAAAATACTCTTGGTCTATTTTATAAACTTTGAGGAGGATTTCCTCCAGAAAAAATTGCAACAAACCGAATATTTGCAAAGCAGATCTCAAACGAAAAACGTAGAAAATTGCCCTTAATCTAACACTTAAAATTAAAATTCAGAAGTCTAGGGGAAGGTGATACGTAGTCCGCGCTGTTCAGGGGGTTGGTTGTGTAGAGAGGAGTAGGTTCGGGTGGAAAACGGGTCAATGGGTATTACTCAACGAAATACCAGAACTCGTAACACTGGAGTTAATGCTGAAATGAGGGGCTACATTCACGTTAAAAGACAAACAGAAAAATCATACATAATCCTCTCAAAAGACCATCCAAAATAATTAACATGAATTTTCATTTCCGCAAAAAAGCAGAGCAAAATTAAGTTGAAAAAATTAATCTCAAAAGTGGTTGAAAGTGATGAGAGCAAAAAAAGGACAGAATAATCATACAAAAAACATATTCTTCAATACTCCATAATTATTGAGCAGACAAAAAGCCAGAGAAACAAAGGATTAAGTAACGCAAACCTCAATCCTAAGACTCGAATTCTCGTCAACGCCACGAAATGGAGTTAACTATGATATTTGATCGCGGCACGCGATCAAGGCAAAAGAAAGATCATGACTACTATCCGTTTTAGAATTAGAGGACCCTGGGGTTATATGCGCATAACTTGAGAAAAAAAATCGTAAAAATATGAGACCAATTGCACTGTGTTATATAAGTATTTCACTCGCTCAATACGAAGTTTCAAGTTTTTCATTTGATTAGTTTATTTATAATCGCTGTGAGAAGCCGAAAAGCCCCCCGATTTTCAGGGTCCGGAAAAGTCGGCAAACTTTTAACCGCTATCATACGTACGAAAATTTTTTTTAAAAAATCGTCAATTTTTCCAGAGATTCGTTGAACCCTTGGGAAGCCAACGAGAGGAGAAAAAACTCAAGATTCTAATAATTATTTATTTAATTGTACAGCAATGTACAATGTATTTGCGCCCCAAAGGGCCCAAATGACTGTAACTAGCATCGACGTCCCCGGAAGAGGTAGGCAGACGCACATGTGTTTTCAATTTCGAGGGACCGACAGTGAGTGGGCCCATAAACCCCATAACGAGTTATGATCGTTTTAACAGCACTTTTTTTGACGAATTTTCTCGATTTTTCTTTAAATCAACGGAGATTGGCTATTAGAAAAATATTGACCGAATGTGTTTTACATTGAATTCAGAATGCATCTTTTTTTTTAGGTTGGTTCGGCAATTCTACAACGAGATAGCCGCAGTCGACATTTGTATTAATTCAATGAATAATTATTAGAATATTGAGTTTTTCCTTCTCTCGTTGGCTTCCCAAGGGTTCAACGAATCTCTGGAATAATTGACGATTTAAAAAAAAAATTTTTCGTATGTATGGTAGCGGTTCAAATTTGGCCGACTTTTATGGACCCTGAAAATCGGGGGGTTTTTCGGCTTCTCACAGCGATTATAAATAAACTAATCAAATGAAAAACTTGAAACTTCATATTGGGTGAGTGAAATACTTATGTTACACAGTGCAATTGGTCCCATATTGGCTCGGACGTCAACTCCAAGCGAGTAAAAAAACCCCATGGCACTCACCCTGAAATATACTATTCCTTAAAACCAGGGTTGGGCAAGTAAAATACCACCGGCATTTTACCACGTTTTTTACATGTAAAAAAACCAAGTAATTTACCAAGGAGGCTTTAGACTTTCATGACCGCTTGTGTGCGTGATTGAAAACACCACCGATGACAGGGGCGTCGAGCTCCCGTGTTATGTGCAAGTCTTGCAAGGGTCAAACATTCCAATGTTCATTCCTCGCGAGGATCAAATATCGCAAGTGTCATCCCTCACGAGGGTTGAACGTCGCAACGGTCAAACGACAGAGGTAGGCAGAACAATTTTAAAGGTCAAACGACAACAAGCGGCAACCGGAGAGTAGGAAGGACAATCATACGGTTCCAACGACTATGGGAGTCAACTGTGAGAGGCAGTCAGAACAATCACGACGGTCCAACGATTATGAGGGTCAAACAAAAAAAGTAGAAAGGAAAATCATCAAGGGTCTAACGGGAGACGTGATCCTCGCCAGGTATAACCGTTGCGACGTCTGAACCTTGCAACGTTGGCCCCTTGTAAGGTATGACCGTTGCTACATTTGACCCTCACGAGGCCAAGATATGACGCTGCGATATTTGAGCCTCGCGAGATATGACCCTGAAGATATTTGATCCTCGCGAGGCATGATATTTGCGAGGTATGCCCCTCATGACGTTTGGCTTTTGCAAGGTATGGTCCTCGTGATATTTGATCCTGGCAAGGTTTATTCCTCGTGCAATTCAGTCGCGAGGGTAACTGCACTGATAGTTGGGTAAGGGGTTTTCTACCAGTTATTTACCGTTTTCACAATTTTGAGGTAAATTACCAGTATTCTACTATGTACCGTAGAAAACTCCGATTTTCAGTGAATGACCCAACCCTGCTTAAAACTCATAACGACCTTGGCACTTCACATGTTTGCAATGGTTGGGAATGACCTTCCACCGAAACCCAAAACTGAGCCTGTTTCATCCCGATCAATTCATACTCTGAGCGCCAGCATTTCAACATTTCCCCGAAGATTAAACGAAAGGGAGAATTCCCACCAATAATCGTACAGCTCGATAATATTTTGGCCCAAAAGATGAAAGTCTCTAGGTGACATATAGTTAACTTTATTCAACTCCTAACGCATACCAAGTAAATACTATCCGAAATAACAATCAATTCTCATCACAATATCCTCAATATAAAACAATTACCGGACGATAGAATAGAATAGAATAGAATAGAAAAAGTGCGGCTGGTCACTTAAAGCGCCCAGAGTCACCTAAATCATATGATCTTTTGTAACTTCCGCCTTAGTTTCGGTCAGTCACACAGCCCCAGCCCTGTGTTTCTCACTAGGCTAATAAGGCTGGTGACAGCCGCTTGTTGTAAGTCCTCTGGTTTCAGGAAAGCCTGGCCCTAGATTTTATAGCGACGGAGTGCCAATAGGGGGCATTCACATAAAATGTGGATGACGCCCTCCTTATCGCCTCCGCACAGTCTGCAGTCTTCTTGTTCTGCAAGTTTCATCTTGAACAGATGAGCTCTGAGAGCTGTATGACCCGTAAGGAGCCCTACTGCTACCCTCAGATCCCCTCTGTGCAACTCCAGAAGCTTTCTGGTCCTAACTCTTAGT